GGGGTTTGTATTTTTCCGGGCCTTTTTTTGGGGGCAAGAAACCTTTTTTTTTTTTGTTTTTTTGCCTTACACGGTTGGGGGGGGGTTTTGGGGTTTAAAATTTTGGGGGGGTTTTGGGGTTTTCCCGGGACCCCGCGCCGGCCATTAAAAAGGGGGCCCGGTTTTTTGGGTCCTTTTGTTCCAAGAGTTTTTTTTGGGGGGGGAAAAACCTTTTTTGGGGAGCCCCGGCGCAGGGCGCCTGTTCCCGGGGGGTTTGGGGGGGGGGATTGGGGGATTGGAGGCGGTTGTGCACTTTTTCCTTTTTTTTTGGGGGCGGTTCCGAACAACCCCCTTTTGTTCGGTAAAAAAAAGGATTTTTGGGAGAGAAATTTTGGATGTTTTTTGGCCCCTGGGTTTTTTTTCGGTTGAAAAGGACGCCAGGCGGCTGGGGGGAGTGAGGACCCATTTTGGCCCCGTTTCCAAAAATTCAAATTTGATTCTTGGGTGGGGAGATGCAAACAAGGCAAACAAAGCGTTTTTCAACCGTAAAATAAATTAAAACCCCCCCCCTTGTTTCCCAATTGGTTTTCTTTTTATAGTGTAGGGGGGCCCCAGCCCCTCGGTGTAGGGGAAAAATTTGTTCCCCCCCTTTTTGGGGGGGGGGGGGGGGGGGGGGGGTTGCGACCCCCTCGTTCTTCGCGAAGAAGTACATCTACAGCAGTACCTTATTAGGGGACCGGTACCTTATTTGGGACGACAAGAAGCAGCATCAGAAGCAAGACCACACACAGCTAAATAGCTCCACGTATCACGTTGCAAGACAAGGCAAAAAAAAAAAAATCAACCGCAGGACCCTCTCTCAGTGGGGGTGCTGCCAGGGTTTCACACAGTTCCCTATGCAAAGTGGAGCAGCTTGAGGCATGCGGGGGGGCACATGCGAGCGTGTTTTCCCGGAGCCTTTTGTTCGATCGAAAGGGCGCGGTTCCACCCCCAGTCGTGTCTTCGTTCCTTAGAAGAGGGCATCGACGGAGGAGGTAAGACAGAAAAAACACGAACGTGTGACCCCACAAATTCGTTCACAAGGACGCCAGTTTTGTCACGGCTTGCCTCAAAGAGACACATCCCGCCGGCTGCTGTCTGTCATAGCGGCGTTGGTCTTCTGCGTGCGGCGGAACACGTCGTACCCCGGTGCAAGAGACGTTTCGTCACAAACGATATAGTCTATTGTACTTGTCACGTTTTTTTTCGCGTCATGCCCAAACGAGACTATTTATTGATTGGGCACATCCGGAACTCTGGACAGACTCGACCTCACAAGGAGCGACGAAGGGAGAGGCTGAATGCCTCTCGCAAAACAAAAAGGAACTTGGTACGAAGGAACAAAAAAAAACGAAAACTCTTCGGGGTGACCCCGGCTATTTCAGTGTGTCCTCGTAACACCGAAACTTGCACCCTGACGACATCTACGGAACAAATGGAATGGCGACCCACGCGAGAGCTTCGCCGCAACGACGCTTGTACAGTATGTAGTTTACGCCGTTCGTTGCGAAACAGCTGTGCGCGTCGTAGAGAAAACATGCACGGGAGACAAACAATGTACGTACTACCAGAGACAGACGTCCCTCACAGACATGCCATCCGGGAAGAGTGTAAAGACCGCCGACCACAAAGCTCGGTTTCGGACCTCACACGACGCGAGGGGAGACACCACCTACTATACTCTCCCGTTTGTGTGCCGCACTACAGCGCAGGGAACGAGGAGATTATTTTGCGACACAACAAGGAAACTACAACAATTATACTATATTCTACCAGACGCTGTTTTTGCTGTCCCGCCTGGTCGACACAACTACACACTCGTAAACGCAAAGAACGCATGTACATACGCATATATATCTAGCTCTTCACAAGGGAAGGCAGACAGCGGGTAACATATAGGAAGTACCAGGTTCCACCAAGAACAATTCAGCACGTCTACACATGTCATTCACCATCAAACACCAAGAAAACCCGGTAGACACGCCAAATCAACAAGCAGCCCATCTATCTCGGTGTTGTAGATACATGCGACATATCAAAGGATCGATTCTCGCGGGACAATTCGCAACGCGCGCGAGTGCTAAGCACCAAAGCCTTCCATGGCGGGCATACAGGCTTCCCGCGCCCAAAGAGGCGACAGCTACTGTAGCCTCCCCCTCCCGTCTTCTGGAAGTCTCTGCTCTTCGTTTATAGCTTCAAGGGAGGTTTCACAAAAAAAACTGCATCCTCACCGCAGAACGTTCCGCGGGTTTTCCACCGCAATCATTTCGTTTGAACCGCGGGGTGGGCGAGGTTCCGTCCACATCCTATGTACTCTACCAAGTACAACGCAACGGTGCACACAATGAGTCAAAGACTAAATAAACGCAGCAGTTCTCCTGTGTTGGCTGGCCGCCACCAAACTACAGCGGGGCTAACCACAGGGCCACACTCTCGTGATGGGTGTGTGTGCGGGGCATCCGTTCGACTTGAAGGAGGAACGCTTGACTGCATCTCGGTCGGTCGCGGTGAGCGTTCGAAATTGGCAACAGCAGTCAAAGTTCATTCAGCACACAAGCACACGATCAAAGTGTCCACAAACTGCCCTCAACAGCAGGAACAAAAAAAAAAAAATGCTGGCGGGGACCAGCCAACAGGCACAGGGCCGCCGGCCACGAACAGGCACCGTACGCACCATATCGCACACCCCACCTGTGCTTTACCTCCTAGGCAGTAACAGCAGCAGCAGCAGCAGCAGCAGCAGCAGCAGCTGACTGCAGTCGCAGAACTAAACGGCAGAGTCGAGGCCCAGGCACATGCAGTCGCCTTGGCCATCGCCCACGACCGCAGCCGCTGCCGCCGCCGCCATCCCGCGCGCGCCGCTTCCTGACGTCGGCGGCGTCCGCGCGATCGGAAACGAGGCGTTCGCCGCCGCGAGGCGGCCAAACCCGCATCCGCTGCTGCCGCAGCTGCCACTGCCGTCGCCGCCGCCCTCCTCCATCACCACCGAGGAGCCTTCCCGAGTGGAAAAGGACAAGAAAGACCCTCGCGGGCTCCGGGAACGCCCATACGAAGGAAGGGAGCTATACTGTCGGACAGACCCCGACCCCGAGCCTTGAGACGACGGACTACAGGCATCATCATCGTCCACCCCGTGAGCCTTCGGAGCCTCATTATCGGCAGCAGCCGTCAAGGACGCCGACCTTCGCCGCCACGCGAAAGCTCCGGCCATACCCCCGGTGGGCACGCGGGCCGACATCGTCCTCACCGCCGCCGCCGACGGCGGCCGTGGCGCCGTTTCGCCGGCTGCTCCCGCCCCCGCCATTACCGCCGCCGCAACGGCCGCCGCCGCCGCCCCCGCCGCCGCTCCGACCTCCCCCGCTCTAATCCCGCCGCCGGCGCACTCGGGTTCTCCCTCCGCGCTGCCCCCCCGAGCTACACCCGTCTCCAACACCTGCTGCTGAGTAGAAGCCACCGCTTCCTCCTCCGTGACATCGTCGCCGCCCTCTTCTGCGTCAAGCGGGGGATCGATCGAGGCTCGCGGGGTCGTGGCCTGGCTGCCATACCCGCCCCCGCCCCCGCCCCCGCGGCCAAGACCTCCTCCTTGTAGAAACCCCCCGGATCGCAGCAACGCCGGGTTGCCGCCGCGCGCCGCCATGGCGGAGTAGGGGCTAACCACGTAGCCGCCGCCCCACCGAGGCTTTCTTGCCGCTGTCCTCCCCCTCCCCGCTTCTTCTCCTCCTCCTCGGCACGCACCATCATCACCATCACCATCACCATCATCATCGTCGTGCTCTGTCGCCGCCGCCGTTGCTGCGGAGGAGGAGACCTCGACGGCTTCTCGACCGCCGTCACCTCTCGAGTCGCCCCCGCCGCTTCCCGCGTCGGGCGTGCTGCCGTCTCCGCCGGGCCGCGTCAGGAGGAACTCGACGGCAAGCACGATGTTTCCCTCGGCACGAGTGAGGGCGTTCTGCAGGGATCGCTTGCTGATCTGGGGGAAGAGCTGAACTACCTGGGCTAGTTTGTCCAGGTCGGTTCTGCGGAGTACAACGGGGGGGGGGGGAAACCGTGTCGTGGGGCGAGGGGGGAGGGGGGGGGGGTTCCACCGGGTTGGCCCCCGCAGCGGAAAAGCCAAAAAAAAAAAACCGGTAACACCAACCGGGTATCATGTCCCCTCCATTACTTAAAAAACCCGCCCTTCCCCGGGAAAACCACCGCCGCATTTTATTGTAGTCCCCCCCCCTTTCGGAAATTTTACCCGGGTCTGGGCCCCCCCCCAGGGGCCCTCAAAAATGGGACAAGGGGGGATGGGTGGGCCACTTCCCCGAGAAAAAAAAAGCTCCCTGGAGCACCCCCCGCAAAAAAAAGGGCGGTCGCCCC